GAGGGGATGGCAACACGAGATCCTTGAGGTCCTTGACGCGAACAACGGATTCCTCATGCGTGGCGTGATCGGTGACGGTCATACCTACACTAGGATCGGCAGCTTGAGACGGGTCTGCATTGGGGAACTGGCCAGGGCCTCCCCCACCTCCCCCACCACCATTCATGGTGAGGTATGGGCAATCAGTGTCTTCATGGCTGCCGCCGCAAACTCGACATTGTGGGGTATCATCATCTCCATTGGAGTCTGATTTTCGTGCCGGAGCTTGTTGCCGATGGCGCCAGTGGGATGACGGTATAACCTTCCCAAATATCAGGGATTGGTAATTGGTGGAAATACGAGTAAGTATTGCGTGGCCAAGTGGAGGCGGCGCCTCAAGTGGTGGTGGGGGTTCAGGAGCGGCGCGTGGTGCGGCCGAGGCGGAGGCAGCGAGCCACTTGATTGCGCAACCACCAAGTTGCTGAAATCATTTCATGAAGCCATTACTTATACTCATCGGTTGATCCTGACTCTGTGTTTCCTAATTAAATCAAGAAGTCTCTACGCCGCCGGGGTTATGGCTTCACAAGAGGATGGTTCGCAGCACTGCCGAATGGCCTACGAGATGTTGACTTGTTGCACCCCCACCAGGGTCCCTTGAATCAGCTGGGGCATCGTGACCAAGTCCTGTACTTTGAACAGAACCACACGGGGGGTCGGGGATAGTACTTGTAAAAGCATTCCCTTGCGACGATGCGGCAACACCGGAGGCATCTTGTGAACCTGAAACCTGAGGTGCTCCAACCGGCTGATGGGTTTCTGGGGGAACTGTGCCTTGACTAGAGGCTTTAGCCGCGCTTGTTTCCGTAGCTGTTTCGGCTATTGATGCGGCTTTTGGCGGGGACTCTTGCATCGGAACAGGGGTCGCACGAGCTTGTTGGGTGAGGTGCGCAACAACACGTTCGAGATCACCAAGTCGTTGATGCATCACAGAATTTTCCTGGGACAATCCACGAATGGTATGCTCTTGACTGGCAATGGTTTGTTCTCTTTGTGAGATTGCCTGTTGAGCCTCTTGAACAATGCGTTGAACCTCATGCTGAGCGTCCTGTTGAGTGGCATTAACAACCTGTCGTGCGTTCTCGACATGGCCAATGGCTTCCTGTCGTGTCTGCTCGATTAGTTGCCTAGCCTGAGCCTCACTTTGTTGTGCTGTTTGTACAGCCTGCTGTGCTTGCGAAGCTAGCTGAGCGGCCTGAACCCTAACATCTGAAACTTCTCTTACAGCCCTTTCCCTGATCCATCCGGCCTCTTGTCTCGCCTGATCGGCGGCCTGCTGTTGGTGCAAGGCGTGATTGGCTGCCTGAGCAGCGAGGTCGGATGCTCGATGAGCTTGCTGCACCGCAGCTCCAGCTATAAATGCCGCAGCGGGTGCGTTAGTCATCGGGTCAGGTAACTGCGATCCCTGTGAAGGAAACTGAATGGCTGGGGAAGCTTCGGATGATGTCGGTTCTGACACGATCGGACCACTCGGGGGTGATGATGGTCGTGTTTGGGCTGCTCGTTGAGGTGTGGATGTGCGAACTGTGGACATAACTGCAGGAACCATGGCTAGGTCAGGGTCGTCCGGTTCAGAATCCCTATTTGGGGTTGACCTTGAACGGGGTTCTGATGGCGGTGATAAGCCCGTTGAAGCCATGACACAGCAATGCAACTTTTGCACTCACACGAAGCTAGCTCCACGCGCTTTGAGCAGCGTGTCAAAAGGCGCTACGAGGAGATATCCCTGGATTGGCAGCTGGTTGCGACACGCTCAAGTGAGCCACTCAAGAAAATACGTTGCGAAACGCTCAAGTGAGCCACTCAAGAAAATACGCCCTGCTGCTTTGCACCTGATAAATTCTGTATTTGTAATTGTACTTGTAGATTGATTGATCCGCACTGCCGCACTATGGTGCTTTATCGAGAGATGTTGCCAAGCTGTATTGAGAATTTGTCTGCAAATCGAAGGCTTGTCATTGCAAAAGCTGTACCGCGCAAAGCGACGGTTTTAACGGCTTGCAGCAATGGCTATCGAAGTACCCGGCTGGCGGGCAGCTGGGATGCAGATCGGTGGAGCTCCTCGAGGTACTGCGATGGATGCAGGCCCCTCGCCGCCGGAATAAATTGTCTGTTCCGGGATTCAATGAACTCACCGAGGTTCTCAAGTGCGTTGGCAAAACCTCCCGGACCGAAGTGCGGAAAGTTGCGGAACGCCGCGATGCCTGTCTTTTGAGCTTCACGGACAATCGATGCTGTATCGTCAATAAGGGCGTGTACGCCCAGCCCTTGCAGGGCGTCTGCTTTGCCTCCCCTACCCAACCGTTCGTGAACGATTTTTATCGCAGAAAAAGTGAGTCCAGATGTTGTCCGCGCGTGCTCCAGGGCGACCTGAAATTCGCGGCGGCGATACTCGCTTGCAGCCCTGCCCACGAAGGATAGCACTATAAAATTTATAGGCGCGTAGTCCGCTGCAAACTGAACGAGATGTCGGATCACTTCCGGGTTGAGGTGGGGTCCCTGCTGCCCAACGTCAAGAACTCCGTGCCAGTCAAGAGCAACAATAAGCTCCTTGGGCGGCACCGGCCTTCCAGGCGGAGGTGGTGGCGGCGGTGGCGCAGGCGGTGCCCTCCTTGGTGGCGAGCGAAAGCGCGAGCCAGCTTCGGAAGTTGCAGCGCTAGCAGCAGCTGCTTGAACTACCTGCGGAGGTGGCGGCTTGACGATGTACCCGACTTGTGGCGGGTTTGAGCTCGATTTGCTTCTGGGTTCGGCCTTGTTCAAACCTCGCGGAGGCGCCTTGTACCCGAATGCACTCTGAGTCCGAACAGGAGATCTGGCCCTTGGCGGTGACTTCCTCGGAATATCTGCTTTTGCCGGCACCGAAGAAACTGCCTTGGGCAATGGGGGCTTGCTGCCAAAAATGACCTTGGGTGCGGCCTTTGGTGGCGGCTGTTGAACTGCCCCAATTCTCCGGCTGTGTAGCGCGATGGGCTCGGAGTGAGTCGGCGCCTCGTAAACGCGCCGAGGCACGTATGCAGCCCTGCCCGTCCTGATGGACTCCGCGTCTTGCGGCGGATCCTCGTCCGAGCTGTAGGCGTCGAGGCGGAAGTGCTCCGCCGGCGCCGGGCGACAGTCAGGAGACCGTGAGCGCGAGCTCGTGGAGGTCCCTCCACGTCTCGTCCGCGAGCAGGTACGGATCGGCTTGGCGAAGCTGCCCAGACGTCCATTGTGCTCGCCGATGAGGTGCCGCCTCACGTGGCTGTGATGCCTCCCGAACCAGTACCCAGGTGCCGTGTTCGTCAAACCTAGTCACAGGGTAGATGCTATTCTGTGGAGCCAAAACGATGGGCCGTGTGGCTAGGGAAGTCCTGGATGGCCTTCCCTCCCGCGGCGCGGGTTCAACACTATGCGCCCGTTGACCCACAGGGGTAGCAGCAGTTGGTCCTCGTCTCGGAGTCGATGATGGAGACCTCGACCTTCGGGGCGATGGGGACCTCGATCTTTGTGTTGACCGTTCCCTGCTGCTCTCCCGCCGCGTTTCCGCAGCTTTAGCGTACACCCCGCGAAGAGTTGACTTTGCGGCTTGTCTTTCCTCTGCAGATGGCCGAATACGAGGCAAAGGAGTGCGCGAGTCTTGCAACCAGGAGGAAGCTGATGGAGGCGTCGGAGGACGAAGCCAGTCCGCTGCACTGCTCGCTGCTCCCGCCGCGCCTGAGGCTGCGGCTTGATCCTGAGAGGGCACACCTTGCGGCAAGACCACACCTGTGGTTTCAACCAATGCGAGACGCTGCTGATAAGCGTTGTCCGCGGCCTGGATCACGTCGAAGGCTTCTTGGTCAAAATTCCACAGGTGCCAACTATCCAGTGACTCACGCCAGGAAAAGAGCGCCTCGACCTGTTGCTTCGAGGCGTCCGCAAACCTGATCCACCGGAATCGTCTGTTCTGCCGCTTGTACTCGTCGACGACGATCTGTTGCAGAGTGTTGTACAATCGGGCACGCGGCCCTTTCCCACCGCGTGTGCCGCGGTGAGGGCCGACTTCCATGCGCGACCAACAGGTCGCAGTCACGGAAGGGTTTGTTTACCCGAAAAGCGTTACGGCTGATAACCACTCAAAGGAGAAGGAAACACAGTTTTGTCAACAACGGGGGAACCCGGGACCTTAAAAGGAACGAACCCCTCCGTGACTGCGACCTCTCCCTTAACCTTGGGGTTGGCACGGTGCAACGCGCTGTTTTCAGCACTTGAGCCAAAGCAGTGATTGGATCATGCTTTGGCAATGACTTGAATGTACAACATGCAACTGACTACATGAGAACCTACCTCATGTACCTCTGGGCCATAAATGTCATCGTGATGATTGACTGCATAACGTGCAAGTAATTGTCGGTGGGTGCTGCAACCAATGCTGCTTCTGATTGTAATTATGCTGCTCTTCTGCTTGGCTTTGAGTTTGCTTTTAGTGTTCTTTTTGTTGCTGCTATTGGTGCTGTTGCTGCTGTTGCGAAGCTGTTGCTGCTATTCCTACTGCTGCTATTGCTGCTATTGCTACTACTATTGCTATCCTTCCAACCACTTTAGCTGCTGTTCTAGGTAGTGCTGTGTCCTTGATAGCGTGCTGCATCTGGTAGTATTCAAAAAATGACTTTCCTGACAGTAGTAAATATTGGTTGATTGCAGGCTGTTGGTGAATGACGGCGAAGTCTGCTGGTTGGTTGATGGTTGGTGGTTGCTGTTGGATTGCTGGTTAGTTGTTGGTTGCTGTCTACGACTAGTTGCTGTTCACAAGTGACTGCTGTCACAGTGGTTGCTGCTTACTGACTGTTGCCGTTTGCCGCCGCCGCCGCCGCTGCCGTTGCTGTTGCGGTTGCTGTGGCTGCGGAAGTGTCGTCGCGGGTGTCGCCAGTGGACGGTTCGCAAATGTGGCCGTGGCTATAACGGTCTGCTACATGTTTGTTCTTTGCCCAATGTCTTTTGTCGCGCCTCCAAGTCTTTGCCAGGAGCCCAGCCCTCGGCGAAGCACTCCTGGCTAACACGGGACCGGAAAGCCCTGGCCGTTCTGTTCGGATAGCCGTGCAAGACATGCCGCAAGCAAAACATAGCAACATGCACTTCCAGGATATCACACAGCAAATGGGAACCATTGCAAGCTCTCTCTGAGCTCCTTCTGCTCCCACAAGACATCCTTCTTGGACTGTAGCTGCTTCCACACTGGCTCCATGTGTTGGCAGTGGGGACAGCTCTTTGCCACGTACTCCACCACCTACCAAGCAGACAGCCAGAAACGATTGATCTATGACCTTCCTTTCAGTGGATGTCTTTTCCAATTTTGTTGGTGAGCCTAGAGCTTGAAAAAACGCAGTGTATAGAAGACTATGAAATGGAATCAAACACGTGTCTCTGGACTGCAAAATCGTGTATAATAATACCGCCCTGAAGCACTTCAACATGCCTCCAAAAACATTGCCGCTGCTGACAGGTACTTGCGCTTTCCAGTGTCAGAAAGCGCAGGCGGGCTAAACGCTACTTGGCTTGCGACGCATGAAATGTCTGGCGGCCGTCCAACTGAGTTGGTCCCACTCTTCGGCGAAGAAGCAAAGGGCGACCCTTCCGCCCAACATCCGTCGGACCTTCACCCCGGCGGGAGGCACCGCGGCCATGGGCGCGGAAGCCGCAGCCACCCCCCGAGTCTCCTCCAGCGGGGCCACCCGCTCGGGCGCTGCGCTGTGGGAGGCGGCGAACCTGGGGGGTCCACGTAATTCACGAAGCACCATTTATCCTCCACCTTTTGAAAGGCAACAGGGGGAGTCCGCAGTGATATCAGAGTGGTCAAGGGTAGGTCGCGAGTGGCTGAGGTAGCGCTGGAAGCCCGATCCAATTTCTCAGGCCACGGCCCCAACAACCTCTCCGGGCTACGCTCCTCCGTAAAATTGGCGAACTTGTTGCCAGACTTACCTCAGCGAGGAACGCATACCCAGTGTCACGCGTTGTCACTGTGCTTGGTGCATGTCAAAACGAAAATGCTGGGGAAACTCAGCTGGATATTGACACACACACACACACACAGAAAGCACCCACAAACGTAAAAACGCGCACAGCCAAGCGCAAGCAGGAGGCTGTAAAACCTGATGGTGGGGAAGCTGTGGATGCCTTCCTTCATGCACTCGTCGTGGTCCTTCCCCTCGCCCCAGTCCCCCCCGTAGCACTCCTTCTGTTCCCACTTGACGTTGTTGGCCTCCTGCATCCATCCACTGGGACAAGCAAATTGCAAATCGGCTCACGAAGACATACGTCTGCGTCCAGCATATTGCGGCAAACATGCAAGTGTGTCACGAGATTTCAGCGACACGATTGATATGTCATGGGTTTGCAAGATGCATAAGCAAGGGAATTGTTTTCTGAGAAGCTGAATGTCAAGCCCATGTATGCTTTGAAGGCCCTAGGCAAAGCCAAATCCCCGAATCCCTGAATCGCCGAATCGGACTCCCGGTCCTGGTGATCCGCCAGCCACTTGCTGCTGGCGTCCTTCCACACAGGCTCCAAATGTTGACAATGGGGGCAGCTCTGCGCGAAGAACTCCACCATCCGGCCTGCCACAAATCGATCTTGCGACCCCAAGGAAACGAAGGAATCCCAAGTTGAGTTTGAGGGAGGGGAGGATAAAGCGAAGAAATGTGGAGGAGGAGGAGGAGGAGGAGGAGGAGCGCCATGCTTCCAAAGACTGTATTCGTAACTAAAGAACAAAATCGAGCAAGCTGTTCCTGTTTGGGTCCACATGATCGATGTCCGTTCTCATTGAGCTTACCTTGAGGCACCCGCGTTGTCCTTTAACAAATGCGCCACCAGGTGTTTGGGCAAGAAGGAAGATCGCCCCAGATCAAGACAATAACGTGGGAACAGTGATGTCAAAATCAGGGCAGCTTGGCGGGATATCCACGGGGAACAAGGAAACAAAGCCAGTATCAGCACACGCTGTTCCCATCCTGTACAGAAAATCAATCTGCCTATCTGCCTATCTGGGCTGAGACCCCGAAGCTTTCAGCTGTTGGGGGGAGAAAAAAAAGGAAAAAACGAAAAGGGGCGCCCGTGTGCCTGCCGCATTGACCATCGAAGTCTCTGCATTCCCGCCTCCACCCCAAGCCTCGGTATCTGGAGGCGCGGCCGCGGCTGCCACCACTGGCTGAACCTCTGGCTGCACCTCTGGGAAGGCGATTTTGCGGTGCAAATTTTGGGGCAGTTCTTTACGGATCATTGCTGTACAACTTGTTGGCGGAGAGGCAAACATCAAGCTTGGGATGCCAACAGAAGGCGGGAACGAGGAGAAACTCAAAACGGTACCTCTCAACACATGTCTTGCGCAATCGCGCAGTGCCCTAACAGGAAGATTCGAAGCAACTATGCTCCCACACAACTTTGTCCTGTTGCATTCCACATCGCTGGTCGGCAAAAACTTTGAAAGCATGAGTCCGCAAACACTTTCTAAGCTGAAGCAAAGTCTGTCCTAGATTCAGGGAACAAACAATGCAACCAAGTTGTGAGCAGCCGAAGCCTCACATCCGCACCCAAAACGGGTTCCTGATTTTGAGAAGCGTCCAACAGCAAGCTGCAGGCCCGCCTTCTCCATCTGGCCATCAAGTTTGCCAACCTTTGGCGCCGCAACGCTGGGACCTGCAACCGGCTCACGTATCATGGCCTAACATGAGCCCTAATCACAACCTCCAATGGAAAGAATGGAAAGGGGCAAGGTGTGACCTTTTCTGTGCGGGAATCTGATTCACAATCAAATGGATCGCAAGGGTCAATTGATACATGAATTGGCGACTTTCCAGACGTGACCTGGTGTTCTCATCATGTCACATGTCACGCTCATGAAAACTGATGATAGCGTCAGCAACGTGCAAGCTCCCGCCAGCATCGGGTAAGTGAGACTCCACGAACTTGTGAAGATGATCGGCAGTTCGGTGGTCTTGGAAGAAGTCACCCTTGCTGTCTCCTCACGCATTGCACTTCTACAAGGGAACATATCATTTAGTTTAAAGGAATCCTTTTGTTCTGTGAAGGGCATCCATGTGCTCAAGAGAAACATCTTGAAACACGCCACGGCTGTCTCAGGTCTCAATGCGCACATCACTTTGAGAGCTTCGACTCGTACCCAGGCAAATCACAACAGCTGTGGCCAGCCTGATAGGTGCAAATGATCCCCCACCCACTGCCTCAGAGCGGACACAGCGAACACACCAAAGTTGCAAAAGGCAACCACTTGATAGGGCAGCTGGGCACGGCTCAGGCAGCAAGCCTGAAGAGGCAACCAGCCATGCTTGCAACAGCAAGCCGCGACTGACTCGATTCTCTTGTCCAACATACTCGAACTTCCTTTAAGCCTGGGATTCCACAAGTGGGCATGTCCCTAAACGGGGGATCCCTAAAAAATGGCTCTTGAAACACCCTGCAAAAGTGAGTGTTTCCGCGGTTGGAATACCTGCATCGTGCATCAGATTCATCCAGGCCACGCCATGGTGTACCCTGCATCACTCAGCGCGCGCAGCGTTGGACCCACCT